TGTCTCAGAGAGCCTCTTTCCTTTATGAAAGTGTAACAAAATAGAGTTTAGACAGAGTATCACAAACTTTCAGAATAAGAATAAGAATAATGCCTAGGGTTGTTGAATGCTTACTCTGTTCTGGATAGTGCTCTAAGTACTTGCATGTGTTATATTGTTTAACTCTCCCATCAACCCTATGATGAGACACTATGATTGTCTGCATTGTGTATCTGAGGAAATTGAAACACAGAGAGGCTAAGTAACTTGCCCAAGGTCACACAGCTGACCCAGTGGCAGAGCTGTGTTCAAGCTTGTTTTTATTTTCAAGAATTATGCCAAATGCAGTCTCCATTCATCAGGCGTCTCTTCGGTCCTGGGGTAGGAGCAGTGGGAGGAGCAGGGACTGGGAGTGCAAAGCAGCTCTCAGGCTCCTGTGTACTTTCCCATGAAGAGATAAGACAGCCCCAAAGGTTCGAGAACAGATGGAGAGTGGATGGAAAATAGACTTTTGGTGGCGAACATGATGCAGTCTATACAGAAGCTGAAATATAATGATGTACACCTGAAATTTATATAATGTTATAAACCATTGCAGCACCATCCCCCCCAAAAAAACAACAAATGGAGAATGTTCTGCTTGTATTCAAACCAAAGGACATTTTTACTCTTATCGGGGTTGCACCAAATTCTCATTTTGCCACTTTTCACATATTAGAGTGTCAAACAACAGACTAATGTGGCTTCAGCAACCGATCTGGTAACATCAGAGGAGCATTGGCCAAAGAAGGTTGGAATGTTTACTACAGCCACTGGCTGTCCAGCACTCCCTGGGGCAGAGGGGAGGTGTGAGCTGGCACTAAGAGGCCCTCTGCTCATCTATCTTGGGCTAGGGGCTGCCTGGGGCTAAAAGAGAACCCAAAAGGTTCATAGCAGCATTACTCATAATAGCCGAAAAGTGGAAACAACCCAAAGGTTCATTGATGGAGGAACGGATAAACAAAATGTGGTCCATCCATACAATGGGATACTACATGGCCATAAAAAGAAATTAAATATTAATACATGCTATGACATGGATGAACATGCAAGACCCTATACTAAGTGAAAGAAGCCAGGCACAAAAGGTCATGATTCCAATTATATGGAATGTCCAGAATGGGAAAATCCATGGAGACACAAATCAGATTAGTGGTTTCTAGGAGCTGGGGAGTTGGAAGGAATGGGGAGTGACTGCTAATGGGTACAGGGTTTCTTTTTTGGGGTGATGAGAATGTTCTGAAACTAGATAATGGTGATCGTTGTATAACTCCATGAGTGTACAAAAAAACACTGAATTGTATTCTTTAAAAGGGTGAAAATGGTATGTGAATACATCTCAAGAAAAACAATCAAACAAAAAAACCCAGAACTACAACAAAAAGGAGAACACAGAATCTACTCTATCAAGTATCAGAGCAAAACATTGTCTTATGAAGCTGGGCTGTGGGAGAAAGGCCCTGGGCCGAGAGAACCTTGGGCCTGTGTTTAAGTCTGGGCTCCTCCACTAGCCTTGGAATGACCTTGGGCATGTCCTTTCACCTCTCTGTGCCTCAGTTTCCCCATCTGTTAAATGGCATTTTTGCGAGCAAATGTATCCTTGATGGGATTTTGAAAACTCTAAAAAGCTTATTTAAAATTACAATGCACTACTTATAGGCAAGGAATTATTGTAGTACTTGAGGATTGAACAGGTTGCTTAGAAAGTATGGTGAAATGTGACCTCCACAATTGCCGCCATAATCAGAGCTCTGAAGATGCATCACTCTCCTTGTGTAGGCAGAAAAATCACCTGTTTCTGAGCAGAAACTACTTGCTTGCTCTCTCTTACCTTTAAAAAGACTGCCAAGTTGCCAGCTGCCACCCTGGTTGCCAGACCCACCCTGATCTTCAGTTCTTCCAAAGATGAGAAATGCAGAGGCCAAGATGAAAGAAATGATTTTGAATCAGCAAGAAAAGGGAAAAAAATCTTTGAGTATCTACCTTCTATACAGAATACCCCTGGCACCACTTCTGCCTGGGATGCCCCAAGCTCTCACTGCTGGGAGCCCTTTGGGAGACTGGGTAGTCTCTCTCCCCTCGTAAGTGACCTAGGGGACAGGACCACATGGGGACCTGGCTGGGTTCTAGGACCGCAAACCCTCTATACAATTCCCGGTCCGCTACCCATTGCTCTATTGTCCTTCCCAATCTGCATGTAGGTTTCCAGGGGTCTCCTGGGATCCCCAGGGAATGTCCTAGGTCTCCCCTAGTTTGACTCCATACCTTGACAACTTTAAAATCCCAGATAAAGTGTTTCTCTCCACCCTCAGTTATTAGGGCTTCCTAGTAGGCCTTTTAGAAAGGTAATTAAAAATTCTTTGGAAGCTTAAATAAACCCTATGCACTGCACTCTACCCAATGAAGTGCTCGCCTCTTAACCATTCCAAAGTAATCAACCTAGTGCATGAGTCTTATCCTGACCTTGCAAATCCCGACTGGTTTTCTCCCTCATATGTATCCAGATAACAGATTCAATATCCATTTATTCTCCTTAGGACTGGGACTTTGTTTGGAATCTTTATTAAGATAGTTCATAAAAGTAAGAAAATTAATTTAATCAGATGCAGAATCCCCCTCCCGCCTAGATTATTAAAATAGTTGCCTCTCCCACTTGCATAGTATTGAAAAATCCAGGTCCCACTAAGGGGTCAAGCAGTGTCCCGCCAGGGGCAGGGGCCAGGGGATCAGCTCACCCTCTCTCCTGCCCCTCCTTAGTCCCAGGGAAGGCCAGGTCACATCCACAGAGAATCCACCAGCTCTGGGGCCACCTCAGCTCAGAAGTACAGTGCGCTGGAGTATAGCAATGCCTGAAATAACAGTTTGCCAGTTCTCAGGATTATTGGGGGGCGGGGGGCAGGCACGGAAGACTCCAGTGTCTTAAGTCACTAGGATGCTTGTTCAGTTTTTTTCTTGAAATTTTTGTTTATTTGAATTAAAAACCGCTTCTTGCCACAAGTAAAAGGATCCAAACCCTCGGGGAACCAGCGTGAGCAGCCTGATGTGCACGAACTGCTCCACAGCGTGGACGGGCTTTTGGCTGCTGGCCTCTCTTCGGGGCTCACCGTTGCCTCGGGAGGATGGCCGGTTCCTGGTCTGGGTTTATGGATAAATCCTGGCGAAGTCCAGACCTGAGAGCGCGCGGCCCGGGTTTCCAGCCAGCGAGGAGCAGTGAGATAATGAACGTGAAAAGGCTTCAGGCGGGAGATTGTTACCGGTGGGAACTCCCTTCTCAGCAGCGAGCGCGCAGGAGGCGGGTGGGGGTCACCTTCAAACAAGGGGACGCATTCCTACTTTGTGCTTTTCAGAAAGTGCGAGCAATCTTGATTTTCAGCCGTGTCTGCCTTTCCGTTAAAGGTCCCTGAATGCTGAAGTCCCTCGTGGAACCCGCCCCCAGCCCCCACCGCTGTGCCCACCCCTCTCCGCGGGGCAGGAGGGCCGTTGTGTCCAGACGGTGGCGCTCCCGAATAGTGCAACCCCCTCTCCCCCATCGCAGCAAGAAGGTTAGTCTGGGACAAGTTTCAAGGTGTTTTCTGAAATTTTCTGCGAGGTTTCTTAACAAGAGCCATAACTTTTAGTAGCAGGCAAAAATCCACTCCCGTGACCAAAGGTCTTGAGGGAGTGAGTATCAGAATCGCGCCCCTTTAGTTTAGCCTGAACCATTCGGATTTCCCGTGGCCCGCGCGCTGCAAGAGCCTGGGCGCACGACAGGGAACCTTGACGCCTGGGGAGGGGCACCCGCGGGGCTAGGGGCGGCCCAACCCCCACGAGGTCGAAATGAGACCCCCGGCAGAGGATGGCAAGGGAGAAGGACCGAGATGAGTTGTGCTTGGTGCCCGGGGCGCTGGTCTGCGGGCGGTTTCTTGGCTGCGCCTCCCAGCACCTCCAAGCCCATCCCGCTGCTGCGGCGCAGCTCTCTGAGCCTGCCTGAGCGCCCCACTCCACTCTGTAGAGCGTGCGGAGCACCTCAAGAAGGGGCAAGAGCTGGAGCCACTCGCCCCGGTTTCTTTGAAGAGCGGCGGCCCAAGAGAAAGGCTTTCTTGCCGGTCTTACTTTTTCCCTAAGCAGGCCTCGAGTTCCCGCAGCCAGGGTACCCGGCAGCAGGGAAGGGGATAAGCTCTCGCTATCTCGGCCCCAAAGTTGGGGACGACGGGCCATCAGCTACCTCCCCTCGCTCCCAGAATGCAGACTCGCTCCCTGCTCCCAGAGCCGGACGCAGGGGACATCTCCTTATGGAGAGCACAAGTCCCGACTGGACTGAAGGGCCACTCGCAGCTGCGGCTAAGGGAGCCAACCGGCTCCTGACAGGCACCGGAGCGGGGATAAGTTCCTTAGAGACAGGGGCACCCAGCTTTGGGATGGAAGCCCCCGGCGGCTCGCCCCTGCTCCCCGTGGGCTGCAGAAGGCTCTGAATAGTCAAATAGCCTCTGAAAGGGCCAGGAGTGGGATGAACCTCTAAAGGGGACTGCAGGGGCGCATATGTATGGTTCAGGGGGCCACTGGCCGCCCCTTACACTCTATTGGGGGTTTCAGACTGACTTGGGTTGGCACTGGACCCCAAGAGGGACCCCCTACCCCTGCTCTGCATTCTACATCTTTTTCCCAGGTGTTTGCGTTCCAGGAGGCAGAGAAAAGAACTTGCTAGAAATGGATGCACAGTGGCTGGTTGTGGGGGTGTAGAAGTGGACTCCAGAGCTTGTCACGAGGCAAGGTACCTGGGGGATAGTGGTGGAGGCGGCTACAGGGGAAGTACATACAAGGCAGTCAGAAGCAAGACTACACCTCGAAGTGGATTTGTCCAGAAGAGTTGGTGATCAAAGCGGGGGTGGTCAGGGAGCCCTGATTGGTCGGGGGGAGGGACTTGGGGTGGGGCTAGAGGCCTCTTGAGGCTTTAAAAGCTCATCGGAGAGAGGCGGGATGCTGTCATTTGCTCTCTGATTCTCGGAAGGGAGGCAGCTGTCCCGGAAGCTCCTGGCAGCAGAGCAGGTGTTCGCTGTCCGGACCTGGCTGGGGGACCTGGCTGGGAGATCCGGCAGCAACATGAGTCCTACCCTGGCTGTTCCCACCCCATATGGCTGTATTGGCTGTAAGCTGCCGCAGCCAGACTACCCACCGGCTGTAATTACCTTTATGTTCTGTTCAATGGTTATCATCATCGTCGTAGACCTGATCGGCAACTCCATGGTCATTTTGGCTGTGACGAAGAACAAGAAGCTCCGAAATTCCGGTAAGCCACCCTTCCTTCTCCCTACCCAGCGTACAGCCACTTGCAACCCCTAGGGTGTTAGTTTGGATGCCCAGAATAGGGAACCTGTGGACAGTGCCCTCACACTGAACGTCCCTGCCTCCCAAGTCCCCGCAAACTTGGGCAGTGATGTTCTGCCGGGGCCCCATAAACTTAGAGCTTCTCCAGGCTGAGGGAGCTCAGAGAATTAGCTTTGGGCGTCCAAGTGCAAAGCCCCAGTTCCCGCGGTGTGCGGCAGACCGCCGAGCCCTGGCCCGTCGGGGACCTGATGCAGAGGGAGCCGGCACCGGAGCGGAGAGTCCGGCAGCCGCCCGGGGACAGCACGCGGAGCCGGACGCCACAGAGGTGGCCGCGCCGAGGCAGCACGGGCCGAATTGACGCGGAGGGAGCGGCAGGGTTGGAGCCGCTCCGGGAAAGTTAAGTTCGCGGTGGCTGCGGCGGCGCTTACCGGAGCGCAGCGCAGCGGCCGCGCCCAAGCCGGGCTGAGCCCCGCCTCGCCGCGGCCCCTGGGGCTCGAGGGCGGCTCCCGGGCAGCTCCCGGGCGGCGGAACGCAGACCCCCGCGCCTGAGTTTGGAGCAGGGCGGTCTGAGTGCGCCGGAGCCGAGCTCCGTCCGCCCGTCCCAGGGCGCACGGCAGAGAGAGGAGAGCGGCGGGCTGGGCGCAGCAGGCGGCGGCAGCGACGGCGGCGGCAGCGGAGATCCCGAAGTCCGTAAGCGGGGTCCTGGGGGTCTCAGGGCGGGCCGGAGGAGAGGTTTGAGAGCCTGGCATCTCAGGGTGGGTGGATAGAAGACTGCAGAACCGGGTGAGGCCGGCGGAAGGGCTGCAGGGGAACTCAGCGGGGGGCGGTGGGGGTCGCAGAGAGACTGCAGACCGCGGGGATCTGGGCTGAGGTGGGGTCCTCGCTGCCGGCCAATGCCAAGAGGAGGGGGCCGGCTGCGAGTGGGGCTGGGGGGAAGCGCGGGAGGATGTAGGGCGCTGCGACCTGCGCCGGGCCCGGGGCGGCAGGCACTGCAAAGCGGCGAGCCCAGTTTGTAGGTTGGGCGGGAGAGGACTCTGGAAGGGAGGCTGAGCAGCGAAGGGGCCCAAAGGCAACGCTCAGGCAGTGGGAGGGAGGGGGCGGCGCCCAGGGTGTCTCGGGCTGCCTGGTCCGAGGGACAGAGGAGGGAGAGGGGCGGCGTCTGAGGGTGTCGGGTACCCATAGGACCCTGACGGGCGGGCTGGCAGGGCGCGGGGAAGAGGAGCTGGCCAGTCTCTGGGGGATTACTTTGCTGGGTCGAGGAATCACAAACACAACACAAGTTTCAGAATGCACTGACGGGCACGCAGGCATTAAAAGTTTTATACTAAACTCTGGTGGGTGTGTCTGATTTCTCCCTGATCCCCTGGAGGCGTGGGGCCGCGCACTTCGACCTCATCTACACTCCAGCAGTGCAGTCCCAAAGTGCCGAACCCTGGAGCCCCGGGGGCGGGGGTACGGGGGGGGGGGCGGGGAGGAGGCACCTGTGAAGCCCGTTTTCTTTTCTTTACTTACCTTCCTCCTTCCCGCTTTTCTTCTCCGAATTTATTACTTTGAGGGAAAACCCTAGAAAGAACCTCTTGGGTAGAAAGCGCTGTGGCCGCGCCTTGGCCGCGCCGGGGGAAGGAGGCAGAAGGAGCTATTCCTTTGCCCTTAATTTTAAAAAGCGCTCATTTTCTCCTAGTCCAAGTTGAAGTGTAATATTGTGCCAAATTAGCAACGAGGTGTTTCCAAAGAAAGAGGGCTCTGCGCCTGCACTTGGCCTCTACCTTCTTTTTTTTGAAAGGTTTTTACAAAAACGTTCCTACCGCTGCCCTACAAAACAGGAGTGGGGACAGAGTCCCCCTTCACTTTCCTGTTGAGCCCGCAGGCTCCAGTAAAGCTCAGCGCCGGGTCCCGGAGCCCTTGTGCAGGGCGGCGAATGTGCCGGTGTGCGGTTCTGCGCGTGGACCGGCACGAGCAGGCACTTGTGCCAATCCTTGCAGGCATTTTCCTGATTTTTTTCCCTCTGCTTACTATTTCTTTGGTTTCAGACTAAACTATACAGGGTCTGCGTCCCGCCTTCCCTGGCCCCCACGTCCCCTCACTTTTTACTCTTAGGTTACCTGGGAAATGGTAAGTATTTCTCGGGCTAGGTCTTAAATTATTTTCAGATCCCGTTGGGAAAGACTGCTTAAGACAACCACGGCCTCTAATGCCCTGTCTCAGACGCTTCTGTGGACCTGTTTGCCGTATAAATGCAATGCTAGGTTAGAGAAGGCAGAGGGCTAATTTATTTTTCCGCGGTGGGGAGTTTGAGGCTTCCTGACATTCCTCTAGTCTCTCCCCTCCCCCACCCCCTCCCCCTCTAACCTACTCCCTAAGGACAGCTTCATCTAGCGCACCTCTGCTCCCTCTCCCTTCTCTCCCCATCCCCACTATAGGGAAAAATTTTGCGTTTTGTTTTTGTCTAAAACGGTGGCACCGCGTGGGTCCATGTGTGAGTGTGAAGCGCCTCTCAAGGGCCTGTTGTGCTTACTGCTCTCTGATGTAAGTTCACGGTCTTTCCCAAAGCAGAGATGACGTTGTTTGAAGGGAAAAAAGGTGGACAACGAATATGTCCCCCAAACCTGGCTGTGCATCAGAATCACCTGGGACATGCTTGTAAATAAAAATAAAAACACAGCTGTATTTCTTTAAAGGAATTCTAGAATTCTAACTTGTCACGACTCTAGCTGGCTTTTTCCTCCAGCTTAAATGTGTAGATTTCCAAAATTAACCATTTATTCTTCTCTGTCTTTCCCCCTCTCCCTCCTCCGATCTCTTTTTCAGGCAACATCTTTGTGGTTAGCCTCTCTGTGGCCGATATGCTGGTGGCCTTCTACCCCTACCCACTGATGCTGCACGCCATGGCCATTGGGGGCTGGGATCTGAGCCAGTTCCAGTGCCAGATGGTTGGATTCATCACAGGGCTGAGTGTGGTCGGCTCTATCTTCAATATTGTGGCAATTGCCATCAACCGTTACTGCTACATCTGTCACAGCCTGCAGTATGAGCGGGTCTTCAGTGTGCGCAATACCTGCATTTACCTGGTAGTCACCTGGATCATGACCATCCTGGCTGTCCTGCCCAACATGTACATTGGCACCATCGAGTATGATCCTCGCACCTACACCTGCATCTTCAACTATCTGAACAACCCTGTCTTTGCTGTGACCATCGTCTGCATCCACTTCGTCCTTCCTCTGCTCATAGTGGGTTTCTGCTACGTGAGAATCTGGACCAAAGTGCTGGCAGCCCGTCACCTGGCTGGGCAGAATCCTGACAATGAGCTTGCTGAGGTTCGCAATTTTCTAACCATGTTTGTCATCTTCCTCCTCTTTGCAGTGTGCTGGTGCCCTATCAACGTGCTCACTGTCTTGGTGGCTGTCAGTCCGAAGGAGATGGCAGGCAAGATCCCCAGCTGGCTTTATCTCGCAGCCTACTTCACAGCCTACTTCAACAGCTGCCTCAACGCTGTGATCTATGGGCTCCTCAATGAGAATTTCCGAAGAGAATACTGGACCACCTTCCATGCTATGCGGCACCCTATCCAGTTCATCTCTGGCCTCATCACTGATGTTCGTGAGACTCGGGAGGCCCATGCCCTGGCCCGTGCCCGTGCCCATGCCCGTGACCAAGCCCGAGAACAAGCCCATGAACAAGACCGTGTCCATGCGAGTCCTGCTGTGGAGGAAATTCCAATGAATGTCCGGAATGTTCCACTACCTGGTCATGCTGCAGCTGCGTCTGACTATCCTAAGTCATCCTCTGGCCACTCCAGGTCTGCCTCTGCCCACTGCAAATCTGCCTCTGGCCACCATAAGTCAGTCTTTAGCCACTCCAAGCCTGCCTCTGGCCACCCCAAGCCTGCCTCTGGCCACCCCAAGCCTGCCTCTGGTCACTCCAAGTCTGCCACTGTCAACCCTAAGTCTGCCTCTGTCTACTTCAAGGCTGACTCTGTCCATTTCAAGCCTGCCTCTGTCCATTTCAAGGCTGACTCTGCCCATTTCCAGCCTGTCTCCAACCACCCTAAGCCTGTCACTGGCCACCACATCCCTGCTGGCAGCCACTCCAAGACTGCCTTCAGCCCTGCCACCAGCTGCTCTAAACCCACCACTGGCCACACTAAACTTGCTACCAGCCAGCCTGAGCCCACCACTGCTGACTATCCTGAGCCTGCTGCCACCAGCCACTCCAAGCCTGCCATCACCAGCCACTCCGAGCCTGCCATCACCAGCCACTCCGAGCCTGCCGCTGCTGGCCACCCTGAACTTTCTGCCTCCTGCCACCCTGAGACCACCGCTGCTGGCCACCTTGAGTGTGACATCACTGACCTCCCTGAGTCTGCCTCCAGCTCTGCCCCTGGGTCCCCAGAGCCTGCCACCAGCCCACTAGAGCTTGCCGCTGCCACTGACCTTCTTGACCCCACTGTGGTCACCACTGCCACCAATGGTTACCGTGGGGCTGGGGTTATTGATGCTGAAGCTGATTCTGATGAAATGGCCTTGTGAGAAATGCTCTTGGGGTGGCCAAGCACTGGCCCACTTTCGAGTTTGTTCGGCATATGTAATCCAAAGTGAGATACCTTACTGCATCTACACACAGACAGACACATGCAGATATTGACTCACAGACACAGTGTAAGCTACATCCACCTTTCAGGTGTACTCCTCCTTTACATAGCATACTGTGAAAAAGTGTGTGTGTGCGCGTGTGTGCTTGCTATTTTAGAAACCAAATTTCCCTAAAGTTTGACATCTGTTGTTCTGAACCTCCCTTTCTTCCTATGGTTGACCTTGAGCCCACAGTAATCCCTGAAATTGTAGACTTTTTGATTTTCTCCTCTCCCGTGTCCCCCTTTCTCCCTCTGCTCATTTCCTCCTCCTGGTACCTGCTTTCTTCTCCCATTCCCCGGGGAGTGGGGGAGCAGTGCATGCGCAGTGGCAAAGGCTTCTGTAAAGTCAATGTGACTGCAGAGCTTTATGTTTCAAGTGTGTAACCCTCTGCTGTACTTTTAATGGCAGTCTGAAAGGCAATTGCAATAAAGTGCAAGTACTTGAAACAGTTTCTTTTCTAAATTCCAGCAACAAAATATTACTCATATCTGAAGAACACAATTTGATAAGCTCTTATTAAAATCAATTTTATGCCTATGAGATCAAATGGCAAAAGGAAAGATATGGCCACACTAAATTATTTCTATTTTGTGAACAAACATTGGTGCTGGTTTTTATAGTCAAACATGAATGCAAATGGTGAGATGTTTTTACCTTATTTGTAGTCACTTACCTCTTTTAGTGTTTGCCAAGATTTTCTTTCATTTAGTTCCAGAGAAACAAATCCATTCATAAACTAGTTTCTTCTAAAATCCAAATTTATTGTTGCTAGGATCAATTATAGACATTTTTTAATATTACAATTCATAACTACTCTTTACCTCAGAGATTTTTTTAAACAGCCTGATGCTTTTACACAATCAGTTTTTACATCTTTCTTTTTCATTCAGAAGGGAATTCGAGGTAATAACTGGTAGGCAGAAGTGAACGAAGCACTGCCGTGGAGGGTGTAAATGAGTTTTGCTCCAAAAGCCTTTCTCTCCTGCCTTGTTCCTCTGGGTCTCCCAGCGGGGGAGGGAGGCTGGGAGGAAGAGATGCCAACAGCAGCCAATCCCACCAGCCGTGACTGAGGTTCAGTGATCCACAATGTTAAGTCGTAGACGTCTTATATCAGCACACTTGACAGCCCAGGAAATGATTTTTCTCCAGAATTCAATGAAAAGTTCTCGTTTAATAAAAATTTCCATTATTGACTCAAATTGACACTTAAAGCAAAGTTTACTGTGCAAATGCTTGTGAGGATAAGTGGAAATGTATTATTCTGCCTTAATTCGATTCTGTATTTGTGGTAGCAATTAAATAAAAGTGTTTTGTGGCTTTGGTGTGTGATTTATTGACCAATTCACTTCCTCCACCAGACTTACTTGTGGGGAGGGTTGGGGGTGGGTGGAAAAGCATTGACCTGGGGGGATGAGAAGACTAGGGTGCTTTTCATCCCCACTATGAGCTTACTATCCCCCAGGGCAAGTCACATGACCCCTCTCTCCTTAGTTTCTTTTCTCAGGGAACCCTTGAGGTCAGGGTGGGGTGGGGGCGGAGGAGGCCCAGCTGGGTTTGGTGTGTTCTTCTCACTAGTGCAGTGACACTGGGTGACCACACCTGCCTGCTCTTGGACTTCTGGACCTTGCCTGCTGTGGCCTCTGAAACAGATCCCTTTTTACCCCCATGGAAGGAGTGAAGCCAGACCCCAATAATGTCACAACCACAGAGGCTGCTGGGACCAAGTAACAGAGCTCATAAGCTAGTAGGGGGAGGCACTGGAGTGAGGCAGAAGGACAGGTGACTTCCTCTCTAGCTGGAAGATGGGTGGCAAGACCCCAGCCATTGGGCAAGTCAACTGACCTCAGGAACATAGTTTGCAAAGAATCTCTAATGACAAGGAAATCCCCTAAGTAAACTGCTCTGTAAAAATAAAAGTGGATTCTGGGGCCGGCCCAAGTGGTTGAGTTTGTGCACTCCGCTTCCACGGCCCAGAGTTTCACAGGTTTGGATCCTTGGCGTGGACATGGCACCACTCATCAGGCCATGCTGGGGCGGCGTCCCACATAGCACAGCCAGAGGCACTCACGACTAGAATATACAACTATATATATACTAGGGGGCTTTTGGAGGAAGAAAAAGAAGAAGAAGAAAAAAGAAGATTGGCAGCAGATGTTAGCTCAGGTGCCAATCTTTAAAAAAAAAAAAAGTAGATTCAAAATAATGTAGAGTAGGAAATCAATTTTGTTAACAAAGTATATACACTTAAAACATGCACATATACACAGACACAGAGTTATACCTATGTAGTTGTTCTATCCAGGTTTAACCAGACTGTGAGTAGAAACTGAGGTCATCTTAACTTTTCATGCCCAAATTACAGTGGTTCGAGCCCCATCAGAGTGACTGCTGGACTTCAGGCTGATTCCGTGGGCAAAATTACTGCCAAGTATTCCTGGCAAACAAAAAGGATGCTTACGCATGTGCTCGCAAACTGGTCTACAGTCAGCACCTCCTCCCGCTGTTGTCCTTGTTCTTCCTCTCTGCCCCTACCGAAGGAGCCTTGCTCAGGGTGAGATGGCAAGTGTTCAGACCCAAGGTGCTGTGCCTCCACGCTCCAAATTGCTATTCTCCGGAGACTCAAGGGGTGCAGGACCCTGAGAGGAGATGAGAGAGGTGAGAAAAATTATTGGCACTTTCTACAACTTTGTTCCACAGTCTGCTCCTAGGTGGCTGAAGCAACACTGCTTATGCCCAGAGTCTCACAAAGTCTCATGAAAGCAGCTACTTCAGCCACTCTGCTCACCTGCAAGCTGCCCTCATCAATCCTGCCCGCCCACCTCCCTCCCCGTAATCCACTCCCCCAGGAAGAAGCGCCAGGTCACCCACAGGGCCGTCTCAGTCTTTACAGAGCGGAGAAATGCTTGTCTCCACCCCTGCTTCCCTTATCCTGTCCCTCTCCACTCCCAAAAGTCCAGAAGCCTCACAAACACATCTCTGATTTACCATGCCCACTGTGAGTGACCAAGGCTAGACGCCGAGTCTCTGCAGTCAGGTTTGGTTAAGGCTCTTTGTAGTTTTCCCCAGGAAATTGCTATTCTCCGGAGACTCAAGGGGTGCAGGACCCTGAGAGGAGATGAGAGAGGTGAGAAAAATTATTGGCACTTTCTACAACTTTGTTCCACAGTCTGCTCCTAGGTGGCTGAAGCAACACTGCTTCAGCAACACTGCAGGTCTCGTGGTTTGATACCAGTGAGAACAGAAGGGCCCATTTTGCCCACTTCCTCAGAGAGAGAATCTGCTTCCGGGTGAGCCTAATCTCCCTAGGCAGGGATAAAAAAATGCAAGCAACTTTTAAATGACAGTTTTCTCCAGTTTCTACTCTTTTTAAATGCAACTATTAATGCATATACAGTAAAGTGACAGACTGACCTTTTTTTACATACATATACATCTATGTAACTGCCACTCTGACCGAGATATAGATAGCCCTCCAGAAGGCTCCCTTTTGCTTGCTGCTAGTCAATAGTCCACCCAAAGGCAACTGCTAATTTGACCTCTGTCACCGTACATTCATTTTGCCTGTTCTAGAACTTCATACAAATAGAAGCCTACAGTATGTATTCTTTTGTGTCCGGTTTCTTTTTTTAAAACTGTAATAAAATATACATAACATAAAATTTACCATTTTAACCATTTTTAAGTGTACAATTCAGTGACTTTAAGTACATTCACACTGTTGTACAACTATCACCTCTCTTCATTTCCAGAGCTTCTTCATCACCCCACACGTAACCCTGCAGCCATTAAGTGGTAACTCCCTATTCACTCCTCCCCTAGCCCCTGGGAACCGCGGGCATATTTTCTGTCTCTATGAATCAGCCTATTCTAGGGACCTCATTTAAGTGGAATCACACAGTATTTGTCACTTTGTGTCTGGCTTCTGGCACTGAGCGCGTCTTTAAGGTTCGTCCATGTCGTAGCGTGTGTCAGTGCTTCACTCTTTTGTTGGCTGAATTATATTCCATTGTATGTCTAGACCACATTTTGTTAGTCTATTCAGCCGTTGATGGACATTTGGGCTCTTTCTCCTTTGTGGCTGTTGGGACTAGCGCTGCTATGATCACTGATTTACGAGTATTTGTTTGAGTCCCTGCCTCCAATTCTTTTGGATATATATCTAGGAGTAAAGTTGCCGAATCATATGTTAGTCTGGCTTCTTTTGCTCAATATTATGTCTTTGAGATTCATTCATGTTTTTGTGTGCATCAGTAGTTTGGGTTTTTTTCCATTTTTATGTAGTACTCTACAGTATGAATATACCACAATTTATTTATTGATTCTACTGTTGATGGATATTTGAGTTGTTTCCAATTTGGGACTACTATGAAAGATGCTTCTATAAACATTTTTGTATATGTCTTTTAATTTAATTTTATATTGAGATATAATTTTACGTACAGCGAATTACATAAATCTTGAGTGCAGGGCCCAATGAACTTTCACATATGCATACAACTGTGCAACCACTACACAGATCAAGACATAAAACATCTCCAGTGCTCAGAAGGTTCTGTTATGCCAGCTTGCTTTTGCCAGTTCTTGAACTTCATCTAAATGGAAGCATATAAAATGTACTTTTTTGTATCTAGCTTCTTCGGCCCGTTACTTTGTCGGTGAGAGTTTTTCATTGCTTTGGGTAGAAGTGGTCGATTCCTTTTTATCGCTTCCTATTTTATCACAGAATTCCACTGTATTGAGCATAACAATTTTTTATCTATTCTACTATAGATGGACATTTGGGCTATTTTCTTGTTTGGGGCTGTTGTGAGGAAAGCTGTTCTGAGCAGGCTTGTGCGTGCCTTTCGGTATGTGTATGGACTCATCGCTCTTGGAAACACACCTGTGATTGAAATTGCTGAGTCATGAGTATATGCGTATTTAGTTTTAGCAGGAACTGTGAAATATTTTTCCAAAGTGGTTGAACCAATATATAGTCTCACCAGCAATGTGTGAGAATTTGAGGTGCTCTGCCTTCTTGCCAACATTTGGTATTTTCAGCGTTTCGTAGTTTTAGCCATTCTAGTGGGTGTCTAGTGCTATTTCATTGTGCTTTCAATTTGCATTTCCTTAATGATTAATGATGTCAACCATCTTTTCACATGATCACTGATAATTTGTATATCTTCTTTATTAAAGGGTCTGAACAAATATTTTGACTGTTTTTAAATTTGAAGTTTCTGTCTTCTTATTGGCAGTACAAGTTCTTTGTATATTCTGGATATGAGTATATATATATATATATTTCATGAATATGTTCTCTTAGTTTGTGGTTTGCCTTTTCTCTCTCTTAATTGTATCTTTTGATGAGCAAAAGTTCTTAATGTTATGAAGTCCAATTTATCAGTTTTTTCTTTTATGACTATGCTTTGTGTTTAAGAAATTTCTGATTACTCCAATATAATGAATATATTCGCCTGGTTTTCCTTTTAGGAACTTTATTGTTTTGCCTTTAATGTTTAAGTCTATGCTCCACCTCAAGTTAATTTTTTGTGTTTGTGTGAAGTAGGGGTCAAGGTGCATTTTTTTATATAGTCAAGATTCCTATTTTTATTTTACCACCGTTTAGTGAACAGATCATCCTTTGCCCCAGTGAATTGGAGTGGAGCCTTTTTGTAGTTAATCATATAAAAATAAAGATTATCTATCTACCTATTATCTTTTTCTAGTCTATTCCACTAGTCTATTTGTCTAGACTTGCACCAATGCCACACTGTTTTTTAAATTTTAAACTGTAGTTTATAGACAATGATGTGCACACATATTAAGTGTACAGCTAAATAGGTTTTTACTTGCATGCATATTTTAATAACCACTTATATCCATATTTTTATATCACCATCTTTCAGATGAAGATATAGAACATTTCTAGGACCCTAAAAGGCTCTTTCATGCCCCAACTCAGTCAATACCTCTCCCAAAGTTAACCATTAGCCTAACCTCTAATATCACATGTCCGTTTTGCCCATTTTACATCAAAAGAAATAACATAATATGTACACTTTTGAGTCTAGCTAATTTTGGTAAACATTATGCTTTTGGATGACATCTGTGTTGTTGGATGCATCAGCAGTTCTTTTTAAAATTTTTCGTAGAAAGATTTAATGATGGGGAGTATCTTCAATCCAAATTAAGTTGAAAAAGCAGACAATAAAATGGTATGTAATTTTGTTAACAAAACCAAAATGAGTTTATGCAAAGACACATACGTTTAACACTTTCTATAGTAAATATCCATATATATTTTTATTGAGATATAATTCATACACCA